TTGAGTTGCCTGGATGTATATGTAGGCCAACACTCCTTGATAGGCTGTTGAGTTCATTGGTCTTTTCTTGCATCTGAGCATGTGTGTGAGAGAGCAGCGCAAGGTCATCGGCGAAGTCCAAGTCGTCCAGCTGCTGCCAAGGGATCCATTGTATTCCATTACGTTTGCCTCTGGGGGCTTCTTTCATGACCCAGTCAATTGCAAGTATGAAGAGAAAAGGAGAGAGCAAACATCCTTGTTGCACTCCTGTCTGTACCTGAAATGGTTCTGAGAGTTGTCCTTCGTGGAAGACTTGGCAGTTTGTTCCATCATAGGTGGCCTTCACAAGCTTGACGTAATTGATCAAAGTTAGTTTTAAAAACGAGCACGGACGTAAGCTACTTTTCTAAGAATAATATATTATCTTTATCTGTCCCCGGGGTTTTATGCACCCCGCGTAATTTAGCAAAATTTGACAATTTTTTGTATAATTTCTGATTATTTTCCTTTATAAATCTTTGTTAAAATTAATAGAATCGCATAATTTCACATTTTTCGGCTCAGTTTGCATTATTTCAGAATTTTTATTTTTTTATTAAAAAAATTTTTTTTTTGCATAAAACCGCGGGACGGCTTTACAGAAAGTCTTGATTTCTGGAATAAAATAGAAGGAAGTTTGATCAACACTAAAGGGCAGCACACACAAATAGATTTAAGAGACTGAGATCCACACACTAGTTTTGACTAGATCTGTATGTTCCCTGGTACATGTAATGGAATGGGTCACCTCTAAAACAAACAAACAAAACTGACTACAAAACGACAAATTAAAAGGAGCACAAAAATACAATTTACAACGTCCAAGCTCGATTGTGTTTTCTGTGTCTCTTCTTTCTTTTTTTTTTTTTGGGGGGGGGGGGGGTTGGGTAAGTGTTTTACGGCGCTCGCAACTGCATAAGGTCATATGATTATGAGCACGCGTCACTTCTTCGACACAACCAACTGACCGCTTCAGTTGGGACACAGACGACACCACGTATTTTGCAGCGACCCCATCCTGTCTATTTGACGTGTCAGACGACAACGCCAGACAGATCTCCAATCGTCGTTTTTAGCTTAGTTTTAGTAGGCCTAGAGGTTTTACGGCGCTCGCAACTGCACAAGGATCGCCGTGTAGCCTCTGCAGTGGTGGCGGTGGAAAAGTAGAGCCAGGCTAAGGCATCACTCTGAAACATAAAGAAAAAAGAAAGAAA